CTAATGCTGCTGCTGTTGCTGTTGCTGGTGCTGCTAATGCTTTTGCATTAAATGTAGCCACAAGAACTACTACTGCTACTACTACCACTACTACTACTACTACTACTACTACTACTACTACTACTATCACTATTACTACTACTACGACGCCGCTCCAGTCCTTCATTGAAATGAAGTGAAAAGAAGGGTACTGAGGCGCGCCAAACCCGCGACCCCAGCATGTGCCCCAGTGAAAACTGGATCTCTCAGCACTTCCACGCCGAACCAAGAAGCGGGCAGTGATTGATCGCAGCTGAACACGCCGAAACCGCTCTCAACAGACGACTCTGTAACCAATCTGCAGCGGCATGAATAAGTTGACGCACGATGCAGCACACCGACACGTGTACAAAAGCCACTCGGATCAGTGACCCAAGCTTAATGCGACTATAAGGTGTTTGCTTAGATGTCCATGGCCAGGTATGCCAAGTTCCTAGAGAGCTTGATTTCTGCTCACATGGAGCGGGAGGCGCTGCTTGCCTATCTGGTCTACATGCCTTTTGTGTCTTTTGTCCTTCCTGGGCATGCTGCACAGGCTTCAACCGTCTCGGCTGCAGAAGCTGACCTGCTAATGCTGCGCTTGGAGGACTAATCGGAAGAGTCTTCATCCGACTTGGACGCCCAACCTCAAGTGAGGACTTGTTGGGAAGAAGACCGGAGCTTGTGTCGCAGCCTCCTGAGAACTTGGCAGGTTGAGACGGTCAAACTTAAGGCGGCTGCCCAAAGTGCATGTACTGTACCAGCTTTCGCTAGGCTGTTCCGTTGTAGCCAATTGGGACGAGCAAGTGCTTGAGCCAGCGGTAGGAGTTTTCTGCGTTTGAGATCGCGCTTCGTTTGAGTCATCCTACATCTGCTAAGCTCTGCAAGACGCTTCTAGATTTTAAGTCATTTTGCCGTATGTGAGGTCGGTCAAGTTGCGGCAGAATCCTCACAACGTGCATGAGTGGCTGCAGCGGGCAAAGTTGTACAAGGACCCATGCATTGCATTCTACTACCTCTCCGACATAACGAAGACACACACGCACACACGGACGGTGATGTTGGAGGGTGCTCAGGACTCGCCCGAGAAGGTCATTCGCTGCTTCACGGAGGCCGTCCGGGGCCTGGCACTGGCCCTGTCGCTTGCAGCGAGGGGGCCTTAGACAGGAGCGGCCTAGCGTCGAGTGTTTGGTGCTCCCGAGGTGATGACGGTGGAGCCCCAGAAAGCCGAAGGTCGCCTCTGGACCTTGTGGGCTGCTTTCGCCAAGGCGAAAGGGAGACATCTACTCCGGCATAAGACGTCTTGTGTCAGTCTAAGTGCTTTTCGATCATCTGCGTTGTGCAGTTCTACGAGTCGCACGATGACTTGGAAAACGCTCGTGTGATTTTTTCAAAGGTCGCCTACTCAAGCTGACCCGCGAGGTTTGCATCATGCATCGTCTTAACTGAGTCGGTTCAAGGCCACGCAGGTGAAGTATCGGGGTGTCGATGACCTTGCCTCCGTCCTGACCCAAGTTCAACACAGTACTTTGAATGGAGCACACGGCCCACTCAGAAGGTATGGTGCGAGTGGATCGAGATGGAGCTTCGTCACAAAGAGTTCGACGAAGCACTCAAGGTGAATGCTGTTTACAGCGGAGAACCCGCCGCGGTATCTACCGACTCACCGAGCCCGAACTCCATGCAGGTGGCAAGGCAAGCCGCCGGTCAGAAGAAGGCTGCAGCCCTGAAAGAAGACAAGGCTCGATGTTGATCAAACCTTGGCAAACTGCTCGTGTGACTTATGTGCCTCACGAGGACGATGTTCAGAATCGGCTGTACCGCTCGACCAAATTGTGGTCACTCTGCATAGACCTTGAGGAGCACAGGCCTCAGCAAATGATTCGGTCAGCCCTTTCAGCGAGAAGACCTGGCCATCCAGGTCGCTCGGGACCACAGCTTCAACCAGAGCCCATGCCTGAAAACTAGTCTTTTACATGCTTCTTTCACCTCTCGCGCAATCTCGGAGGCGGCATACGATGCGACTCTGGAGCTCAAGGCGCTTCATCCGCTGTTGTGCTTATTTAGCAGTCGTCCAGTTCGCACAGGTTTAGCGGTTTGCAGTCAGTCCTGCCAGAGCCGCGTCAAAATGCGAGAAGCTTTCTTCTCGACAGCAGTGCTGCCGTAGGGAGAGAGACGGACAGAAAGAGTAGCCACTTTGGCTCAAGCCGCGAATGGTTCAAGGGAAGCCTGGCCTCTCCGCCCCTTTTTCTCTTGTCTCTCCCGTTCTTGCTTTCGGGAGCACTTTCTCTCAACCCGGGCGTCTGAACTCCTGAGCCTGCTTGACCTGCCGCGCGATTGCTGATCAACATCAGGGTGATCCTCGCGCTCTTCCTTGATTAGGTCCGGGACAGCGAGATAGTCTGGGTCGGACCCGTACGGCAACCGCAGCTTCCTTCTGCCACACCTTCGGGACTTCCTGAACTCTACGTGACGACTATCGGCGACCCTACAGTTGGCCCAGCCCCTCCACTTGATCCCACGCTTTGCGTACCTCGAACGCCGGCTACCTGTACGTCTCAGGGTGGTGACTCTGGCAGGGACACCGAGAACGCAATCTTCGCCTACACCTCAGCAACAATGGCAGCTGTAGCAATATGCAGACTTACTGCCTAGGATTCGCCCGGTGCTACCAGCCGGAATACGATCCGTGGCACGACAACGGCTAGTATAGGTTGGCAGACGAAGCTCCGCCAGAAGTCGAGCATGATTACAGCGCTATGGTGGGGCTGCCTGCGCGGACATGCGACAAGGGGGACTATGCCAACTCTACGACCGCCGCCCCACAAAAGGAACCACTGGAGCAGCTATTTGTAGCTGCTCCGCCAGCCGTGGAGGTCGTCTTGTAGAGTGGCTGGGTCCACCGTGACGAGGTCAGTGAGGGACTCGTCATAGTTGAGGAAAACTTCTTCCAACACATCTCTCGCACGCTCCAGCGCTTCCCGCCTCGCTTGCAGTCCCCCCGTATTAGAGGAACGGATTGACGCGCTGAAGTCCCGGCAGCATCGTCAACGAGGGAGCCGATTTTGTTGAGCTCGTTGTGGATGGTTAGCATGTCCTTAAATATGCGCCGGACAATCTCCACCAGTGTGGCTGCCATTTGGACGGGGTTCACCCGTCTCAGCTCTCGCGACGATAACTGCCCCCGTGCTAGCGTCAGCTCCTGTTCGGCAATCTTCCCCCAGCGTGTAGTGCGTGTTCAGGTAGTCGAGGTTGTGGCTGCGACCTCCCCGTCGGTGTGTTTCCGGGGTTGCTTGCAGAGGCCTCGGCAATGAAAGATCCCCCTGTAGGTGCCACGGGTCCTGCGCCTCGGTCGGGCTACGGCTTCTGGTCCCCTCAAATAATCAAGGATGACCTCCAACCTTTGCCTGTCCACCAATTGACAGGATGCATGCGCTCGACAGCTACTCCTTCGACTACACGACTACATCGACGGCATGAACGTCCACAACCCATGGCCGCTCCCACGAGCCGCCCGGACTACAACGTCGACAACTACCAGCCCGACACGCAAGAGCCCGCAGCCGCGGCTCACCGGGGCACAATACCTCGCCAACAGAGGGGAGGACCCTCACAGATGAGGAAGACATTCTGTCAGAGGCCAGAACTCCTTCAACATGGGAAGGCAATCCGGGGCTCGGCCCCGCCACAGCTCACGGCAGGATCCCTACGCACGCCAAACCCAGTGCGCACCGCGAGAAGCAAAGCGTCCATGCTCCTCCGCTCCGTGTCAGCCGAACTGGAAGCCGCCGCGGAACAAGCCCAAAGCCAACCGCAGCCACAAACCCCTACTTCAATGGACGCACCAGCTACACGAGGGAAGATGCGGACCAAGTGGAACAAGCTGAGGAACACATCATGGAAGCCATGGGCCTATGGACGAGGTGGGGATGACGCCTCTCGGCGGCCGCCGCATAGACCGGCCTGGCGGGGGAGAGAGACGGGGGACGCCGCGACCACTTCCTACGCGCAACGCCGGCTAAGTGGCAGCGCTCGCAGCGGGGCTAATGGAGAGCCACCGTCGAGGGGGGAGTTGTTAGAACTTCTGGAGCTCGCCCAAGCGGGCCATGCCCTGCTCCTGGGAGGGAGATGCAGCAGCAACTGGCAAGTCACACACTGGGTTATTGACGCTGCTGAAGAAGTGGAGGCAATCCTCATTGCCACTAAACCAAAGCATCCGACTGCCCGGAAAACAATCAAGATGCCTCAAATCACGGTTGCGCTCCTTAGAAGATACCTTAATCAAGGTGTTTCACTTGGTTTGATGCCTATGAGGGCATAAAAGCTCTTAAGCAAAGAACTTTGCGTGTTAATTAAAGGCTCTTCTGCGGTCTTACCGCTTTTTCCTTAATTAGCGCTTTTTTAAGGGCCTTTTATTATATCTACAGGCATGAAAATTTTCATACTTCATACAGACACGAACATGCACATTAAATACATACAAACACACATGCATGAAGACACATATGCATACATATTGTGGAGCGGGCGGGTGTGATTGTGGCGAGTGTGGTGGGTGAACTTAAGTTCAACCACAAAGGATGGAGGGCCATCCTTTGCTAGGAGAGTCCTCCTGCCTCCCCGGTTTTCTTTCTATATATGTAACATGGACACCTCTCTATCTATCTCTCTTCCTTCTCTCTCTCTCTCTCTCTCTCTCTCTCTCTCTCTCTCTTTATATATATATATATATATTGTAGGGCCTGGCGG